TGTGAGGGTTTTTGAAATTCGATCACTCCCATTAAAAAATCTCATTACCAACTAATAGGTTTGTTAAGTATATTTTGGCACCAGTACCAAAAATTCTTGGCAAATCTATGCTACATCCATTCCAAATTCTAGCTCTATCCGTTTGCACAATGGATTTAATTTTTAGTATTTTAGTACGCTTATATTTCGAATATCCAGAAATCAAGCCTTATCTCAACTCTATACACCAACATTGACCCAAATGCAAAATTTCAATACTTTTTCTTCAGCCGTCTCGTCCGGGCATTGATAAATCAGTAAGTCAATACAGGGTTGCCCATAATTGACGGACCTTTGGGCCCATTCAATAGACGAGGTTTGTCCGCAGGCAACATTCTTTGCGTCAATTGAATTTTGTACGGGAACAAATGCAAATCAATGCGAATAATCCGTTGTCAAGTGGATCGAGCCATGCCCAACGGCGTTTTTGGGATGGTATTGGGGACCTCTCAACACTGGCTCGTACGGCAGCGATATTCTCGGCCGATCGCCTTGGTCAACTTTTATATGGCCTCTTCGGATTAGAAAGAGCCTTACCAGTCGAAAATTTTTCGTATAAACGCTTAGTGGTGTTCTTAGAAGGCGCACTTCTCACATTTTTAATGTTTTAAAAGCACGTTGTGTTTTCACAATTATCCTCTTCTGTTGAATGTAAATTTCAACTATTTCAGGGCGCTCGCCTGGCGTGTATTGGTTCATGGTAAAAATCTGCTTGGACTGAAGCTTCAAACGCGGTATGTCATTAAGCGATGTGACATCTCTGTCAAAAGTTATGGCGTTGCCAGATGGGTCCGTCGAATATGGGCAACCCTGTATATTAATATTACGTTTAGGAAATTAATTTTTTTTTTGACAATATTTTTTTCAAAAATTCTCAAATATACAAATGTAGGGTGCATTTTTTCAATCCTCGACTCTACCAGACCAGAATTTATGTAATGAATATGTAATTGCAAACTCAATGCATGGGGGTAACTTAGGTATGTTTACAGAAAATTCAAGAGAAGACAAAAAAGAATAACAGGATAATTTCAAGTTCACAAGAAGTAACCACCAGCAAATTTCCCACCGTTTTCATCACTGTTGAATGCCAAAAATGAAATTCTAAAGGTATATCCAACAACGTGCTTGAACAAAAGAAAACAGTTGTTAAAATTGTTTTCATAAATAACAAGACGAGAATAAAAACAACAACAACAACAAGAAAATGAGCCATAAATAAACACACTAGCCAGGGCACACTTCGACAGACGACAAGTATGGCCAACACTCGAATCAACCAACCAACCAAAGGGGGAGTGAAATTGTTTGGTCACCAAACCAATTGCAACATCCATCCCCAGGGTGCTGCTGAGCTAAAACGAAGCACATACGCGCCGGAGTTAGTAGAAGAAGTACACAATTGTCTCCAAGTAGCAATTATCCATTCACGCTCAACATCCTTGCAACTTTAAGCCTCTGGCCGAAAAAGACAATTAACATGACACTCAAGTGGAGTGCGTACCACGACTGTGTGTGAGTGTGAGTCTTTTGCTTATCTTCCTAGCTGGCCACAATTTTCCACCGGGACACACAAGATAAGTTCTGAAATATGTTTTGTTTTTAATAAATTTCCAATTTCAGCAAACTTTTACTTTCTCATTGTCCGTCGAGTCGAATCGAATTGCATTGAGTTAAGTGTTGTACTAAGACATGAATTTAATTCTTACAACATATTATTAAAAATTTATAAAATTAACTCAGCCATGATCCGGTCGCTGGTGGTGGCCGCGTTAGCTCTTCCCCTCCTCCGTCTAATGAGACCTAAAAATGCTAAATTTTACAACATGTTAACGTTGTTTTCCTTTTGACTTGCGGGACACGCGGTCATTTTGATTGGTGTCATCCCATCGTAGGTAACCCATAATTATGCGAACATGCAATAATCAACCATACGTAATTCTTTATGGGAATGTTAAAGAGTGCGGAATAACTGTGCGTTGGCTTCATATGGTAACCATAGCACAACAGAAAAAAAACTGCAAAACTGTAGCAGAATAAAAGGAAAAACAAGTAAAACAGCTGTAAGTTCCTCCTGGCCGAACTTTGAATACCCCCCACCATTTGGTACAAATTTGGCAATTTTCAAAAAAAAAAAAAAATATAATACGATAAATTTTTCTTAAAATCATAAAAATACGGAATGTATCTGTCATATTAGGGTCTATACGACGACATGGACCTGCATTTGTCATAAGCTATTACAATATTCAAATGCGAAACTTAAAAAAATAGGTAATAATGTAGATAAAATCGTTAAAATACCGAATATCGGGATGTCCCGTTATGTGGGGGCTATATGAAGACGTGGACCTGCATAGAAAATTTTCAGTCTTAGGCTGTAGTAACCATTACGAACATCAAATACCAAATTTGAAACAATTCCGGTGAATATTGTAGTTAAAATCATTAAAATACCCAATATCGGGAGGTACTGTTATATGGGGGCTATACGAAGACGTGGACCTTCACAGACAATTTTCTGTCACAGGCTGTAGTATCTATTATGAACTTCAAATACCAAATTTGAAATAGTTCCGGTAAATAATGTCTCTAAAATCATCAAAATACCGAATATTGGGAGGTACGGTTATATGGGGGTAATACGAAGACGTGGACCTACATGACCAATTTAAAAGTCCTGCAGACATAATACACATTTGAGTAAACTTTTATCAACTTACATCATTTCGTTCGGGACCTAGACCGATTTCCACAGATGGACGGACATTACTCGACATTTATTTGACAGAATTTGATGCTGATCAAAAATATATATATACTTTGTAGGGTCTATTATAAATATTTCGAAGAGTTAGAAACGGAAAAACAAAGTTAATATACCCCTATAGCAAAATTGTAGTCCGTGTCCAGGTAATTATTATGAATTTTAACTAGAAAGAAGTTCTTCTCTCTTCCACAATCTTTGAAATTTCCGAAATTTCTTGGAAGACTTCCACCTTAGATATATAGTGTCTTCGGCATTGTTTTTTTTTTTTTTGTTTTTTGAAAAAAAAGTTAAAAAGTATCAGTCAGTTTTGCCGACAGATACATACCCTCAACCTATGTCAGTTCATGTAAATATATTTCGACTTAATTATGATTATTCAAAAGTTTGACATTATCAATATTAATCCACTTCATATCTGAACTAACTCTGATATAAATATTACAACGATTTCGACCATATTGACTACTTCCTCCACTTTATATGAGATACTAGAGTACTAGATATAGTGGGCCGAAGTGTTCCACTTCATCTGATACTGATAAAAATTTAAAGAAAATCAGTCATCTATTACCAATGTTATGTGAATATATGTCAAAAAATACAACCTTTTGTGTGGGAGGTACGAGAAGGTGTGAGCGGATAATTTCATATTCACGTCAGATCTTTGGTTGAGAAAAATATTCAGATATAACATGTTTGACAATTATTATATAAAACATGTGTATGCATTGGAAGCAATGTAGTTGTTGTGGTCAAAAACAAAACTTTGCTGTGAAAAAGATCTGCCAATAGAACTTGAGTCGAACCTGGAGAGTTTCTAGTGTATAATTCGCATATGCTAATTTGCAATAAGTTCGAAATATATACTACTTTCCAGAGAACGGCCCTTGTAAGCCATCATCCACACCAAATATGCCTGATGAGCCGCTTAACCAACGGCGAAACGCGTCGCATAGTGGTGAGTGTGTGATAGTGTCTATCTGGCTTTCCTTTTCACTGCAAATTTCAGATTATTAAGCTCGTCTCGAAAGAGAAAACAAACACATAAATAAAGTAGGTTGATAAAATTTTACTAAAATGTTTATGGATATTATATTGAAAATGGACCATGTAGGTCCACGTTTTGATATAGCCCCCATATACCAGAACCTCCCGATATTCGTTATTTTGATGATTTTAGCGACGTTATTCACCGGAATTGTTTCAAATTCTGTATTTGAAGTTTGAAATGGATACTACAACCTATGGCAGAAGATTGTCTGTGCAGGCCCACGTCTTCGTATAGCCCCCACCGGAATTGTTTCAAGTTTGGTATTTGAAGTTCGTAATGGATTTTATAGCCTATGACAGAAAATTGTCTGCTCAGGTCCACGTTTTAATATAGCCCCATATAGTACCTACCTATATTTGGTATTTTGATGATACAGGCCCATGTTGTCGTATAGATCCTAATATAATGGCAACATTCGGTATTTTTAAGATTTTAACAAAATAATTAACGGATTTTATTTTTTTTTTTTTATTTTTTTTTTATTTATTTTTTTTTTTTTTTTTTTTTTTTTTTGAAAATTGCAATATTCGTTCCAAGAGGGAATTCAAGGTTCAGACTGGCCGAACTTATAGTTTGTTTACTTGTAACTTGTCAAATTTTTATCTGAAGAACACAACTCAGGAGTAAAGCTATCTTACGTGAAGATTGGCATAAATGATCAATATTATATATTGATTTTTGAAGCGTTGAAATATTTCAAACAATGCTTGATATTGCACAAAAATCAAGCACTGATATCTGGCGACTTCGTTAAAAATAATTGTCTATGCGGCTGCAATACATTTTGTGTAAAAATCTTATTAATTCGGGAAGTTAAATTTCAATCGGTAATTTATAAAGTTTTTTTTTTTGTTTTTTGAAACTGGATTTAGTAAATGAGCCATATGTATATTTACAAATTAGTTTCATATATTCTCAAAGGCAGGTGCTGGGCGTGATTTATGTATCCAAGCAAATTTGTTTAAATCAAATTTAATGGTTCAATTAAACTACATGGTTCATATGCTTTCAATACGAAATACCAAAAAGAATAAAATAAATGGATCAATTTCAAAATAAAATCACTACTTAAAATCAAATATTTTGCAAAAAAAACTGATTTGAAAATCCATTAACTTTGCGGTATTTAATTGCAGATGAAAAATGTACGATAAAACAACACTTAAAATCTCATTATTTGCTCGGGTTATTTTTGAACCACTGCAAATGTATAAAATGGGAACTTTTATCACAAATTCTTCCATTACTATTTCAAAATTCGACAAATTGGAATTAAAATGAAATTTTTTACTCAATTTCTGCTGATTGGGACTCTAATCCATATGGGCGATTTGAAAAAGGTAGGAATTTTTTCAAAAATGATTTTTCGCATACAAAATCTTTTTTTTTGGAAATTTTGCAGATTGCCCTGTTCACCAATGTGGAATGTCCTGCACCCTACAACGATTTGGTATACGATTACAAATGTAGTCTGGTCAAGAATGCCGAGGGAGTTCCTCTGTTACATTTATCATTTAAGCTCAAAGAAGACACCAGCAATGTGGCCCTACATTTTAAAGTCCGAGGTAAACGTGAAAATCAGCCGGAGGAAACATTGCTCGTCTTCGATTTGGATGTGTGCGAGGCCATAAGTGCTTCTCATGAACATTTCTTTTTGAAAATGATTTTCGATGAATTACGAAGGGTTAGCAATTATCCCACAGAATGTCCATTCAAGAAGGTAATATTTTGATATGTTGAGTTTTTTCTAGATTTTGAATATTTCTTTTTGATTTCAGGATCATGCCTATAATATTCATGATTTCGCCATTGATTCATCGGTCATACCACCCTATGTACCGGAGATGTCATGGTCATTGGAGTCCCATTACAATGTCAGCAATAAAAGGACGGCAACATTCAAAGCTTATGGAAAATTTTCGGAGGCATAATAAAAAAACTTTGAATTTTTTAAATAATTATTAAAAATTTTTACTATTCTTAAAGCAGAAGTAAATGTGTGTTTTTTATACCCTACACCACATAGTGGTAAGGGTATTATGTCTTTGTGCATTTGTTTGTAACATGGAGAAGGAAACGAGATAGACCCATAGTTACTTTTGAGAACCTTCATAGAATCACTTTCTGAGTCGATTTATGCATGTCCGTCCGTCTGTCCGTCCGTCCGTCCGTCCGTCCGTCTGTCCATGTATTCTTGTGAACAAAATGCAGGTCGCATTTATTATCCGATTGCGATGAAATTTTCCAAACAATATTTTTTTGGCCCAAGGACGAACCCTATTGAAATTGGTGAGAATCGGATCAAATTTAGATATAGCTCCCATATATATCTTCATCCGATTTCGTGTTAAATGAGCACCAAATGTTCACTATCAGTCCAAATTACCTGAATTTTGGCACACCCAACCGGGTTCGGCCCGGGTTCGGCAAGTATATCAAATTTGGAGAAAATCGGTTCAGATATAGCTATAGCTCCCATATATATCTTTCATCCGATTTGATCTTTAAGTCCCTCACATTCCTACTATGCACTTCACAACCGTGATATTTGGTACCAGGTATTAGATGGAGCACAGGAATAGCTGTTTTAAATTTTATCGAAATCGGTTCAGATTTAGATATAGCTCCCATATATATCTTCATCCGATTTCGGGTTAATTTACCACCAAATGGCCAATATCAGCCCAAATGGCCCGAATTTTGGCACATGTGACCGAGATTAGCTTTAAAGTAAATACAACAAATTTGGAGAAAATCGGTTCAGATTTGGATATAGCTCCCATATATATCTTCATCCGATTTCGGGTTAATTGTGCTCCAAATGGCCGATATAAGTCCAAATGGACTGAATTTTAGTACATCGGACCAAATTCAGCCTAGAAGCAAGTATATGAAATTTAGTGAAAATCGGTTCAGATATAGATATAGCAACCATATATATGTTTCATCCGATTTAGTGTTTTAGTCCCTTACATTCCTACTATGCACTCCAAAACCGTGATATTTGGTACCAGGTATTAGATGGAGCACAGGAATAGCTGTTTTAAATTTTATCGAAATCGGTTCAGATTTAGATATAGCTCCCATATATATCTTCATCCGATTTCGGGTTATTGACCACCAAATGGCCGTAATAGCATCAATTTTGGCAAATCCGACCGAAACCAGCTTAGAAGCAAGTACACCAATTTTAGTAAAAATCGGTTCAGATATAGCTATAGCTCCCATATATATGTTTCATTCGATTTCGTCTTTAAATCCCTCACATTCGTAATATGCACTCCACAGAAATGATATTTGGTACCAGTTATCAGATAAAGTCCAAAAATAGTTGATTTTAATTGTATTAAAATCTGTTCCGATTTGGATATGCCTCCTATATATATCTTCATCCGATTTCGTGTTAATTGTGCATCAAATGGCCAATATCAGCCCAAATGGCATGAATTTTGGCAAATCCGACCGAAACCAGCCTATAAGCAAGTACACACATTTTAGTAAAAATCGGTTCAGATATAGCTCTAGCTCCATATATATGTTTCATCCGATTTGCTCTTTAAGTCCCTTACATTCGTAATATACTCTTCACAGGAATGATATTTGGTACCAGATATCAGATAAAGCCCAAAAATAGTCGATTTTGATTTTATAAAAATCTGTTCAGATTTGGATATAGTATAGCATAGCATACTCTTCAAAGGAATGATATTTGGTACCATCCGATTTCGGATTAAATGTGCAGCAAATGGCTAATATTGGTACATCAAATTTAGTGAAAATCGGTCGGATACAGCTATAGCTCCTATATATACCTTTCATCCGATTTGTACTTTAAGTCCCTCAAATTCGAAAAATGTACGATACAAGAATAATATTTGGTATCAGATGCAGCCAAGAAATATCTTCTTTTTCAGTTTTACAAATATCGGTTCAGATTTGGATATACCTCCTATATATATCTTCATCCAATTTCGTGTTGATTGCGCACCAAATGTCCAATATCAGCCCAAATGTCCTGGGTTTTGGCAAATCTGACCGAATTCAGCCTAGAATCAAATACATCAAACTTGGTGAAAATCGGTTCAGATATAGCTATAGTTCGTAAAATGCACGATAGATAGAAATGCTCTGTATAAACCTTTTTACGAGAGCTCTACTAAATATGCATAGTGGTGTAGGGTATCATATAGTCGGCCCCGCCCGACTTTTGAGCTTTCCTTACTGGTTTTTTTTTTAATTCACATATCAAAGCAAAAAAAAAGATAATTAAACCACTCAAAAGATGGAGTTTTAATACGATAGATTAATAAATCTATACTCTATCTTTGTCAGAATAATATTCCCGCATTTGTAGAATCTTCAAAAAGTCTATATTTTGTAAAACGTCCTTTCCTCCATTCCGGCTGGACGGACAATATATTTACAAGGATAAAGACGTACATTTCGTACATGAACATAACTCAAGGAGTTACATAGTTTTCAAATGGAGTTTGACATAAAATAACACCTAAACCATACTTGATATAACATAGAAATTTAGCACACAGAATTTAGAACCGATAACCGATAATTCAACCGATAACTCATAACTCTTTCCTCTCGAAGCCGTTTTTTTTTTTCTTTGAGATGTGACATCAATTGAGTAAATGAGCGATATTAAGTTATTGAAAATTTACTAGCGAAATTAATAAAAACAAGTTAGAAAGTATTAGTCGGTTTTGCCGACAGATGTATACTTTCAGCCAAAGCATTTGTTTCTTTTAAATTCGGACTTGTATTGCCCATTTGGTGCAAAATTAATTTGAAATCATATAAAGATATATATGGCATCTATATCCAAATCTGAACCGATCTCAATAACATATGGCAAATATCTTTCTGAGCTGTATTTCATATATTTCCCTGAATATCGTTGTTACGGAGTGCATATTATGGCTGTGGGTAACAAATACAACAAATCGGATGAACAATATATATGGGAGCTATAGCTATATCTGAACCGATCTTCACCAAATTTGGCATACTAGCTTTTAGACTTAATTCGGTCGTAGGTGCCAAATTCCGTCCTATTTGGGCAACTATTAGACATTTGGTGCACTATAAAAGGTACATCGGACGAAGTTATATTTGGGGGATATATCCAAATCTGAACCGATCTCGATAAAATTTAGCAAAGGTAGTTCTGAGCTACATTTGATACATTTCGCCAAATATTGTTGTTACAGAGTGTATATTACGGCTGCGGAGGACAAAAATAACAAATCGGATGAACAATATATATGGGAGATATAGCAATATCTGAATCGATTTCGATCAAACTTGGCATACATATTTTCAGGTCCAATCTAATCGTACGTGCAAAATTGCATACTATTCGGACTGATATTACACGTTTGGTTTACAATAAAAGGCAAATCGGACGAAGATATATATGGGAGCTATATCAAAATTTTTACCGATTATCTCCAATTTCAATAGGGTTCGTCCTTGGGTCACATTTTTTTTACATTTTTGTTTTTTTTTTTTTTTTTTAAATTTATTAAATGAAAGCAAAAAGTGTCGGAAATAACATAAAATTTTAGAATAAGTTTAGATTTGTTCGAATTGGTCACCTTCGACACGAATTATGGCCAATAAAACCATTATACGCTGCCCGAATGTTGCTCTGCGGTATTTTGGCTCTTTCCCGGCGAAGCGCTCGCCAACCTTGCTTTTCAAAATACTTCAGGCACAATAGTCCAACTTATTTGCATCCGGAGATTGTGGTGGCGCACAATGGCGGTGGATAAGAAGCGAGGAATCAAGTTTTGTAATAATTCTTGGGTAGCGCGTGCTGAATGCGATGGTCATGAGTCCTGTTGCATGCCCAAACCTTTAATACACCCTCCAGAATATTTCCCCGATAATAATCGGCATTGGCCACGGTCGATTAATACGAGCGGAGAGCAACCATCGGCTGTTATGGCGGCCCACACCCTCACCATGGCCGGCGCTTGAATTCTGATGGCCAACCGAAGGTGCATATTTTCAGCAAGTAAACACGATAATTTTGTTTGTTTACAAACTGCTGGACAACGAATGTTTTCTCATCGGAGATAGTAAAAACCAAATTCGGCAGTTCAGCACAGGCAGAAGCAACTCTTTAGCTCTTTCGAGTCTATTTTCTTTCTGTTGTTGTGTAAGTTATTGCACTTTTTGGAATTTCAATGGCTTTACCCCTAGCTCATTTTCAATATTTGCTGAATGGAATATTGCGATATGTTCAGCTCGCTTCTTTGCTTTTCGAACCATTTCTGCTGATTTTGCTGTTTTCTTCCGTCCACTTCCTTGACGTCGGGCTACACTACCAGTATCACGGTAACGAGCGATGGTACGAGACACAAACGATTTATTCACATTAAAATGCTGGAGTGCTCTAACGATAGCTACTTGGGGTTTCCAGCCAAATATAAAGAAATCACACTATCACGCTTGAATTCTATATGAAGGTACCGTGTATGGGGGCTAAAAAAATTCGTGGAGCTGTTTAGGAAATTTTATGTCATAAGAGGTAGTACCCGTTGCGAACTTTAAATACCAAATTTTAAATTCTGCTAAAAAGTATTAATACGCATCAATATTTTTTTTTTTTTCTGCCAAAAAGCCATTTTGAATTTGTGAGAATTGTTAAAACCCTTCCAGCTGTTCTTGAGTTATAAGCAGAGTAACTAACATCCCCTTGTTTAATGTATGTAATTACATATATTTTGCTTTATATGGAATATCTTGAATATCAGCATCGATATAACCGTCAGAAGTGTATTTTTCGAATATTTGTGATTACGATGGAAAAAAAAATATTGTATGTATATTTATGGCCTATTTCACCCGCTAAATATAATTCTATGACGATCCAAATTAGTTAGCTCATACCTAGCTTTAAACTCTAACTCAGTGCTAAGTTCCGCGTCGATTGGTTTATAATTGCGACCTGTAGAGCAACTGCTACATCGGGAAATTTTT